TGCCCAATGCCAAAGTTCTTGGGCCTCTTCCCAAACAACCTTCTTGGCTGCCTGTTCTTGACGACCGCAGGTGCTGGCGCCACTTTCTTGCCCTTGCCTTTCTGTCCTTTGGGCATCTTGGCTTGCTAGACTCTTCTTGTAAATTTTTTGTCATCCCTCCTTATGCCTGTGAGCATGTACCCTTAGTTCATTCTTCCCCATACAAACCTCACTCCCCTCTTTAGGGAACATTCTAGTATCCTGCCTGGGTGCTACCGTGTCTCCCTATTCAAGAACCTCTCATTCTTTCTTCTTAGCTTTCTCTTCTGACATGGAGTAAGACCAGTGCTTTGTTATGATACAGTCAATTGGTCATAAAGAGAGATGAAGTTGGAGACATGCTATAACATTGTGTGAAATAAGTCAGCCACAATATGACAGTTATTGTATGATCTCACTTATATGAAATAGGCAAAGATATAGAGCCTTGGTGGCACTGTGGTTAAGTGCTCCACTGCTAACTGAAAGATCAGCAGTTCGAATCACAGGTGATATGGCAGTATGTACCTGAGAAATTACAGCCGGACTCCAAACTAATTTGAACAGGTTCCTTCATGGCCAGGGAGGCAAAATCAGAACAGACCTGAAAGTTTAAAATTGGAGTGATCAGGAATGGTAACCAGAATGGAAAACCATATAGATTGAAGCCCCTGGCATGAGAAACATGAATGAGGTGCAGTGAGCCTCTCCAGGGGCCTGATGGGTAATGCTGGATTATTAGTAGAACTATAGAGAGTAACACACATTGAAACAGCTCAGTTGCCATCACCTTGATCCTGGCACTATGGAGATTTGGTTTCTTGGCCATGCACATGCTGATATGCTTTCGAAAATGGAGATTAAGTTTCTTGCAGTATTCCAACCACTGATTTTTTCCTGTTCTGAGCAGTGCTGCAGTTCACCCAAATGTTATAAATGGGGGCCGCTCTGATGCCATTTAGGAGGCCAGAACTAACGCAGCTTGAACCAGTTCAAAGCCTTAGACTACAGCCCGGGAAGCCCCATGGGTCAAATCCACCTTATCAGGTCCCTATTGGTCCAAAGTTTATAAATGGTGTGAGGGAGGGGAAAGGAGAGTCACTACTGAAGGAACACTAAGTTACTGGTGGGAGAGTAGGATAACTCAGAAACAGACAGCGGAGTTAGTCGCACAGCACTCTGAATATTACCAATGTCACCAAGGTGTACATGAATACATGTTGAATTGGCAAACCTTGTGTTATATATGAAGGCGCTTCAGAAAGTATGTGGAAATATCATTATCTTTTAATTGCATCTTTTCCATGAATTTTATGAAGACCTGTAATAAGGTTGTTTTTGTTTTGTTTTGTTTTTGTAATAAGCTTTTACTAGAGTGAAACAATTGTTTGAAATTGAGAAGCATAACTGTCTTAGGCCGGGTTGGCTAGAGAAACAAATCCAGGGACAGTCATCTATGCATAAGAAAGAGGTTTATATCAGGAAGTAATAATAAATCAAGCAAACATCCCAGCCCAGTCCAGATCAAGTCCATAAATCTAATACTAGTCCATAAGTCCCTCTTCAGACGCAGCAGCCACATGGACTGATGCAGAATGCAGGTGGGTGCAGTCCTGGGGATCCAATGGCAGGGGCCGCATCACAGGGCTCTGGTAGGTCTCAGAGTGACTCGCCCGCAGGAAGGTGAAAGCAGAGAGAGAAAGGGACTGACCTCCAGAGAGCCATTTGTCTCCGTAGCACCTACAAAGGAGGTCATCAAGCTGCAACCTGGTTGACAGGTGAAACTCCATATCTTCTTACAGATGCCACATTGGCACAAGAAAACCTAACTATCATGAGGAAGGGAGGGGGCTATGAGGAGCTGCTAACAAAGAAAATGTTTTGAAAATGATGATGACAACAAATGTACAAATGTGCTTGACAAGATGGATGGATGGATGGACTGTGATAAGAGCTGTACGAGCCCCCAATAAAATGACAGGGAAAAAAAGAAAACCTATCACCCAAACCAAACATCGACTGACTCATAGCAACC